ATCTAAATAACAAGAACACTTCTATAACTTGGTTCAACTTAAAAGCCACTGCTCCAAAACATAATCTCAATTGATATATGTAGCACTTATTGAAGGAGTTTATATCACCGTTCTTTGCAAAAGAGTGAATAATTCAGCCAAACTTTTCTTGGGCAAGGGGTTTTTGTCACACTAGGACAAAATAATAATAATAATAATAATAATAATAATAATAATAATAACAGCAGCAGCAACAAATAATAATATCAATTCCTCAAGAAAAATACTACATGAAATTCCGTATGTAGATCAGGAGTTTTTACAACTTGAGAATATGAACACATCCTGGTAATCTAAGCCATTGTATGACTTCAGATTTGAGTTGAAATTGTTTAATCTGCTCAGTGGGAGAAGGATGAGCTATCTCCTCCCACTCAATTAATTGCCTCTGAAAATATGGGAAGGTCAGCAGTAGTTGGGTTCCAACTCAAGGGCACATAACAACAACACCATAACATAGTTTTCCATTTTTCCCACAAAACACAAAAATCTAAAAGTGATAATGTACCTGGGAAGTGATTGTACTTGGTGACTAAGCTTAATGATTTAAAATCTGCCTTCTGAGGGGGGAAAAGTTTTCATTTACTTCTAACAATTGAAGTGTGTTACAATTTCCTCACACTGTTATAAATACCTGTTTTAACAGTGTTTGGGTTTTGAATTAATTTTAGAATTATGGGATTGACCTCAAGTTTTTGTTATGTTCCTTTTTGAAACAGAGGAGATAGATAATCAATAAATATCTAATGTTTAAATACAAATATGATTGTTGAATGATGTAGAAAACGACCATCAATTCTAAACTATTACATGAATGCAAATGCCACTCTTGCTAGCATTATTAAACTGGTTGTCTTAATTAGGTTGATCCAAACTGATACTATTTTTTTGTAAAGTCATTCGTAGAAGTTTGAAAACACAATGTAAAATGCATCATAACAACCTATTTTAACAAGTGCATTAATTTTAAGCAATCTAGAATATGACGTCTTTAGAATAGGATGCCTACTAAACTCAACCTAAATTGATTTTCACGTTTTACAATCTCATATGCTCTTTCGGTGTCTGCTGCCTGCACGCACTTGGTTGCACTGGGAAAGGTGTCATACCTATATTGAAGTCACAGTTCATTTTCTTTCATTCCTGACGATGATGACACAGATTGAGTTTATCCTTTTCCCCACCGTTGACTTCCACCTCCACTGGGGTTGACAGACTGCAATAAACATTCCACATTTTGACCTTTTTTATCTCCATCAGCAGAGTAGACAGATGGTGCAGTTTATGGTTATGGGATAAAATTTTCTCTTTTGAAGCTAATTTTTCCACAACTAATCTGCTGGTATATGCTGACACGGTCAGCAAAAAGTCCACTGACAGAACTTCTGGTGCCTTGGAGCAAAAGAAATCCATATACTCAGTTGCAGTAATTAAGTGGTGAAATTGGTTATATTCTTTGATTTATGTGAACACATTTACCAGGGATGCCCAGCGTCACTACCACAGGGCTATCTATCTGTGGCATCTTTTGTACACTAATGTAATCCAAAAGGAATTGAGTCAAGAGAGAAACTATAGAACAAGAAAAACAAGTTATGTCATGTGAAGGCAATACCCTTTTTTATTGACATTTCTGAAGAAAACCTGAAATCTCACTTGTGGCTAGGCTGCATGATAATTTTAATACTGTAATAAAATATTTACCACCAGCTGCTTGTCCATGCGCAGGATTATCTTTTGAAAACATGGGAAATTAAACCCTATTTGAAAAAATGACTTGATCCTCTGAGTTACTTCAGAATATGTGGATTTCATTTTCTGTGATGCTGATTCACTCAACTTACTCATTGCCATTGAGTCTATAATGACTCATAAATGGTTCTCCAGTGGATTCTTTCAGGGTATAAATATGACAGGAGGTGATTGCCCATCTTTCCGCCACAGCTGGTGTATTCGAACTACCAGAAAGGCAACATCTTTGGTTTAATAACTTGACACCCCATGGATTACACCACTAGAGCTCAAATGATATAGTAATCTAGAAAAGTACAATGACAACAAACTACCAGAAATGCAAGCTGGGTTTAGAAGAGGCCACAGCACCAGCGATAGCCTTGCTGATGTCAGATGGGTCCTCGATGATAGCAGAGAAATCAGAAGAATATCTATGTGTGCTTTATTGACTATGCAAAGGCATTTTTCCCCTGCGTGAATCATAACAGATTATGGCTAACATTGAGAAGAATGGGAATGCTAGAATACTTAATTGTGCTCATGAGAAATCTATATCTAGACCAAGAAGCTCTTGTTAAAAGGAGCAAGGAAAGAGTGCATGGTTTAAGATCCAGGTGGGTGTGTGTCAAGTTTGTATCCTTTCAATCTGTATGCTGGGCAAATGATTCACAAAACTGAACTCTGTTATGAAGAATGAGGCCTCAGAATTGGAGGAAGACTGTTCAACAATATGCATTATGCATATGACACAACTTTGCTTGTTGAAAGTGAGAATATGAAACACGTGCTGCATGGGATCAAGGATTACAGCCTTCAATATGGATTACACCTCAACGTCAAGAAAACAAAGTTCCTCAACACAGGATCAAGAGTCAACACAGATGGAGAAAGGATTGAAGTTGCCATTGATTTCATCTTGCTTGGATCCACAATCAGCACAGGAGATGTATTGCACTGGGTAGGTGTCCTTCATTATCAAGGACCTCTCCAAAATGCTAAAGATCAATGACATCAGTTTGAAGACTAAGGTATGCCTGATTCAGGCGATGGTATTCTCAATCACTTGCTACCCATCGGAAAATTGGAGAGTGAATAAGGACAAGAAGAATTGATGCCTTTCAACTGTCAGGCTGTAAAAGAGTACTCAATATCCCATGGCTTGCCAAAAGAACAAACAGGTCTTGGGAAAAGTACAGCCAGAGTGCTCCCTGGAGGCAAATATGGCAAAGCTTACTCTTTCATATTTTGGGCATGTAGCTGGGCCGAGTCTATTCATTGGAAAGCGGTATCATGCTTGGAAAGTTGGAGTGTCATCAAAAGAAAGAAGACCCCCCAATGAGATAGATTGACACAGTGACTTCAGCAAGGGACTTTATTGTGTCAGGGTTGATGAAGATGGCAAAGGATAGAGCAGCATTAAGATTAGCTAATCATAGGGTCACTGTGTGTCCTATTCAAGTCAATGACAAAGATCACATCAGCAGGTGGATTGAAGAAACCCTGGTGGCAATGTGATTAAACGCTCAGCTAGTAACATAAAGGTTTACAGTTCAAACCTCCCAGCTGCTCTGAAGGAGAAAAATGTAGCAGTCTGTCCCTTAAATATGTACATTCTTAGCAACCTTATTGAAGCATTCAACTCTGTCCCATAAAGTCACTGTGATTTGGAATCGACTCAAAAGCAAATGAGATTTTTGTGCCTTTTTTCCTAATTAGTTTTTCCAAACTTACAGCATCATGTAAGTTTGAAATTATTTTAAGATGTATTTGAAGTACTGAATATCAATGCCAAAAATATGTGTCACAAGCTCTTTTGGCTCTGTGCAAAATGAAACATGTCCACATTTTAGTATAGTTCACAATATGAAGATCAAGTAGCTATGAGGAAATACTTTTATTTATACGAAAAGGTCAAAAAAAAAGATAGAAAAGTTAAACTCTAAAATGCATCATGACTGTATTGCAGCAATTGACACATTTACAGTTTTTTTATCTGTTTCTAAGACACTCCTTTGACTTAGAATCATCACAGTATAACTTACTCTTTCCAAACCTCATTAGTTTTTTGTTTATATTACATATTAATATAGTGTGTGCACCTAGACAAGAGAAAAAGACATAATAACCTTAAAGATACAGCCATTGCTTCAGAGCTAATTACCATTTACTCACTGGAATAGTATAGATGTAAAAGTCTAATATTTTTTGCAATAATATTTCTGATTTGTTAAAGTTCACATAGGGATGTATTTTAATCAGTTTGGAATTTCTACCATCAGGACCTTAATCTGTTCTAATTATATAGATTTGCTTCAAAAAAGTTTTCAACCACCTATTCAGTAGTCAGTTTTTATTTGGAATGGGTTTTCACAACGAAGGAAGAGAAACCTTTTGCATGTAATCTTTGCAGATCCATTCTAAATCTATATTGAGGTCTTTGTTATTTTACATTTGCCTTGATGTGTGTGTGTGTGTGTGTGTGTGTGTGTGTGTATAATACCTGCTTTTCCTTGCTTGTGTCTTTTCTGTTTGTAAATGTTTTATTATAGTTGGAGGAAAGTTTACAGATTAAGCTGGTTTTCCATTCAACCTTTTGCACATGTTTTGTTTTATGACACTTGTTTACAATCCTCACACTGTAGCAGCACTTTGCCCACTTCCACCCTGCGGCTCTTGTTTCCATTCATTCTCTTATTTTCACTTCCATCCTTCTGAACTCTATGCTTAGACAAATTATCAGTGCTATACTTTTCTCGAGTATGGTCGATTCTTTTTAAGGTCTGAGTACCTACCTCCCTGGCCTTTTCCCTTAATTTGAGATGGAGTAATTGACTTCATTTGAAGACAATCAAAAGGAACACTGATTATAAAGAAGAAGTCTCACTCAGTCACTCGTTGTCCCTGAGTAGGAACTGACTCCTAGATAACCCTTCAGTAGGTTTCTGAGGCTGTCAGTTGCCCAGGAGGATGGATAGTCCTTACTTTCTCTCTGGTAGGAGCTGATAGAGTCAAACCTCTGGGGAGGAACTGCCTTTGTTTCACAGTGCAAATCTAAATAGACTCCTTTATAAGCAGAATGAGAAAGGGTTATTATTATTATTTTTTATTTACAATTCCAGCAATATGGAGAGAAATTAAAAGTCATTATTTATACTTGCATTCATGTCATTTTTAATGAAATTCATTTAGCTATTAATGATTTCCTAACATGATGTGTTGGTTTTCAGATCTTGGGAGACCGATGGGCAAACATCTGTAGGTGGACAGAAGACCGCTGGGTTCTTTTACAAGACATCCTTTTAAAATGGCAGCGTTTCACAGAAGAACAGGTGAGTCAAGTGGAAGGGAAATGTTACTGGCGAAAGAAATGGGGACACATTATTGGCACTCTTAAAAGATTTATCATAATTTTCTTTTAATAATTTTCTTCTCTTTATAATTCTTTATTTCAGTGCCTTTTTATTGCTTGGCTTTCTGAAAAAGAAGAGGCAGTGAGCAAGATTCCCACCTCTGGCTTTAAGGATCAAACTGAAAAGTTATCAAGTATTCAAAAACTGACTGTATGTATTTCTTACCATTTATTACCCTATTACAAACCTATCAGTGTGTTAAAACGGCTAATTGCTCCTTCTTAGACTCTCAATTCTTTTTTACATATTAATACAGTTTTTAATACTTTGTCAGTTAACATATTAGTTAATATCCAAAAACAAATTTAAAGGCAGCTGCAGTTGGGTTGCAGTTTTAAGAACCATATGTTATCTGGTTTTTAAAAATTTCTTTTCTTTCATACTGGTTTATTTACAAAGTTTGTATACAGTATTTTTTACATCAGATCTTTCCCATTTCATTCACACACCCCTCCACCCATCAAAATGTGTGACCCTATGATTAACGCCCCTTACCTCTACCCACCCTGCCCATCCTTACTCCTCTGCCCCCACCCTTCCCTTTCTTGGATTCTCATAGTCTTCTACAATATTGGTCTTATATAATTTTTGTCCTTATGGGATTGAATTAGTTCACTTAGCATAATGCTCTTCAGTCTTTCTGAGGAAATGCCAAACTGCCTTCCAGCGTGGTTGTTCCATTTTACAGTGCCACCAACGCTGTATGTTGTTGTTGTTATGTGCTGTCGAGTCGTTTGCGACTCATAACAATGTATAGGGATTCTTATCTCGTCACATCCTCGCCAACATTTATTACTTGATGCCCTGCTAAACTTTGCCACTGTGGTTTTTATTTGCCTCTCTCTTATTGCCAGTGATTTGGAGCATGTCTTCATGTGCCTGTTGGCCATCTGCATATCCTCCTCTGTGAAAAGACTTTCCATGTCTTTTGCCCATTTTGTAATTGGATTATTAGTCTTTTTCTTCTGAAGGCCCTGGAAGAGTCTCTAAACTTTTGTTATGAGACCTGTGTCTAAAATGGTATTGCAAAATGTTTGTTATCAGTCAGTAGGTTTTCTTTTCACTCTGTTGGAAAAAGTTTTTGATGCACACAGGGATTTAATATTTAGAATTTCCTACTCATCAGTTTTTTCCTCTCCAGCTTGTGCATTTCTGGCTGTATTTGGCAGTCTCTTTATACCATAGAATAGGACTTCTAAGCTTTACCCTCGTTTGTCTCTGGTTAACTTTATGGTTTGCACTTGATTCTCAGGTCTCTAATCCACCTTGAGTTAATCTTTGTATATGGTGAGAGATGTGGGTCCGTGTTTCAGCTTTCTGTGGGAAGCAGTCCAGTTCTGTCAGCATCGTTTGTGGAAGAGGTTGTCATGTCTCCATTTAATAGATTTTACTTCCTTATTGAGTATCAGTTGACCACAGATATCTGGGTCTCTGTCTAGGTTCTCAATTCTGTTCCATTGAAGACTCTCAATTCTTAAACCAGGTCTTCATAGTTTTGGCTTAGACTATTGATGTTGTTATGTACTGTTGAGTCTGAAGCAACCCATAGGTGGGTGACCCTCCAGCAAATTTTCAGGAGCAGCAAATTGCACAGAAATAAATTGCCCATCTTTTCCCCAACAGTGCCACTGGTGGATTCTAACTGCATGCTTTCCAGATGGCAGCACAACTCCTTACCGCTAGGCTACCATCGGGATACCCTTAAATCAAGCCGTTTGGCTAGTTTTGCTTCCCACCTCATCTCTTTTATTCCGGAAGGTCTGATGACGCCTCTCCATCATAAGTGATCCTGCTGGCATTGGAAATATCATAGGCATAGCTTCCAGAGCCACATCAACAGGGAAGCCGCCGCTGAACAACAAACTGACAGATGAATGGTGGGCTTAAGTCTTAGAATAATCAAACATGGTGTATGTTTACTCTCCTTAATTATAGCGGGGAAATGTGCAAGTAGGTTTTCTGCTGTGTTTGTTTGCTTCAAACAGAACTGTAGCCATGGAAAAAAAAAGTCAGCCAGGAAGACTTCAAGTAAAAAAAAAAATGAGCAACAAGGAGAGGCAAGACAGATCCACTAATAAAGTCTGTCTGATTTTAGAATGTAAGGAGTGGAGATGAAATGGCCAATAGGATTTCTTTACGCAAACCCTGGTCTGTTAACAGTCTCCCAAATTCCCCTATATCATGATTTACTAAAAATACGTAAATAAATCAAATGACAGCAGTTGAGAATACCTAACACTCTTGAACAACTCTGTTGCCATTTTAGGGCGTACAGAGGTTTCTCCAACCTACAGACCATGAGAAGACTCTCCTTCCGGCATCTCGATAGTTTTCCAATATGATTAAAATTCAAATTATGTTGCTTTACTTGTGAACAAAGGGAAAATATGTTTCATATAAGTCTTAACATTTGATAGTTTAAGCCAATTAACCAAACCTGACAGCTGGTCTGGAATTTGAGGTAAAATTCCCCTGCTGACTCAGGCAGTGAATAAGAATTTAATGTTCATTAAAATATGTCACAATCTGAGACCCAAAACAGGTACCATCTGTCTTCAGTTCTTATTACATACCTTGGTAGAGATACGGACTGCTAAAACTCACTTTTATTTACAAGCAGTATAACTTGTTTGGAAACCCTATCAGTACGAACCAATGGGCTTTTTCCCCTTCCTATTATTGGGAGTAGAAGTGGTCTCGAGAATCTGATCTTTTGTTTGCCCTAAATCTGTAGGGGAGAGTCTGTGACAGGAAAGTCTATATTATTGTGTTCAAAATTGCAGTTTTAAAAATTTGTTGTCATGGATAAATATCGACAGAGAAATATAGTATGTTTCTGAGTTGGATTCAGAGACTTGCAGAATCAGCTAAACTGTCCTTAGAAAGCACAAGTAGAACAGCAGTCTACCCCTGTCCAAAAGTGCTTCAGGTGTATGCATAATGTTGCCATTTTCAAAAAAAGTAAGCATGGATATCCAACGAAATATGGTGTAGCACAAAAAGGACTGATTACAGGGTTCTTCAATGGATTGTGGGGACCAGTGACAGGAACCTAGTGTTTGTGAGAGACCAGTCAACTCCTGCTAACATTACCTTTTTCTTAGACTTCACTACCTAGCCCTAATATCTTCTGTTTACTCCAAAGTGATTTATCTCGATAGAATCAGTGGTTCTCAAAGTGTAGTCCCTGTTGTTAATGATGTTTTTAGGTGCCGTCTTGTTGACTAAGAGTCATGGTGACTCTATGAAGAGCAAATTTGAACCCCATCTTGTCCAACGCCATCTTCATCATCTCTGGTTTGCTACAATTGCCGTGTCTATTTGTCTTGTTGAGGATCTTTCTCTCTTTCTCTGACCCTCCACCTTTCCCAGCATGCCGTCTTTCTCCAAGGATTGCCCCTTCCTGACAAAATGCCTAAACTATGTCAGATGAAGTTTTATCACCTTTGCCTCTTAAGAGAACCCTGATTAAACTTCCTCCAAGACAGAGTTGTCTGTTCTTTAGTCTGCCAGTGGCCCCTAGACCTGAGTAGTTGTTGGAAATGAAAAGTCTCTCACTCTGTCCCAGGGTGACAGAAGCAGACTCTAGATATGGGGGTGAGTCTGTCATTTGTGGTTTAGTGGGTGCTTCTTAGGCACATGTGAGAGAACTCCTGTAATGATTAATCTACCAAAATACAAGACTAGGTGGTTAGAACACAGTGGAGTACTGCTTATATATAGACAAATAACTACAGACAGAGAGGTCCTGGATTTAATTGTGCTGGTGAATAGAAATTTGCTTGGCCTTACTCTCTGAGGTGTGCTACTAAGAACAATAGCTTTTTAGTTTACTGGGCTTTTGTGAAGTTTTATCTTTTTCTTTCCCTTCTAAACAGCTTCTGTATTTGGCTAGGTAGAATTTGTCCGTCCTATCTTGAGAAGCTTGTCATTTTTGTAATCACCTCCCATGCAATTGACTGTTTCTGAAAATCTACTGGAGGGTCAGTTATGAGTTGATTCTGACTCCAGAAAATATGACATCAATGACAATAACAAACTCTGTATCCCTGTCACAGTTAGTCGCTGTGCATTAGTGCCCAACTTGGGATTGCATCCTTGTGCCTGACTTTGATGTAGTTATTCTAACTAAAATTCCTACAATAAATAGAATTATGCAATTTAACTACTCTTTGCCTTGCCCAATAAGGAGTTCTTATGAGTCATATACAAAGGACCCATAGTCACATTGTGGTCAGTGTATGCAGCTACTAATCAAAAGGTTGGCAGTTCTAACCCACCAGTTGCTCCATGAGAGAAAGCTGTAAGACTCTGCTTTATTCAAGATGACTCTATCCTCCAGGGTAGCTATGAGTTGCAATCAACTCCAAAGCAGTTAGATGTGCTTTACACTTTTTTCTGGAGCTTTCTTCTGTCTCCTGAATTTCTAGAGCTCCGTAGCCTCTGGTACTGGGAAGGTTTTAGAAATGTATCATTTGTAACAACTAAATCAGCGGAGTCATTTGATATGCACACCCAGGAAACAAGCTGAAGAGAGATGACGTTTGAGAATCGACTGGAGAAGGTAATTCATTACCATGAGCCAAAATATCTGGCATCGCCATGGATTTTATGTCTTCTCCCCTATGCTTGTTATGCTGGAAGACTCCTTTGGGATCTGGAGATTAAAGAAAGCAGGAACAGAGAGCGTGCGCGAGCATGAGCGATCCTTGGAACAAACAAGAAGAAGGAAATTGCCATGGTAAAACTGAAGTGCCATCGTCATTTTACAATGTGTGTCGTATGGATTACAATAGGTAGAGATTTTTTGTTAGCAGGAGGTTTCTGCCATATAATTTTACATGAGACTATATAGTACAATAATCACACCATTTTCTTGTAATTACATTGTTTTTATTTTGCCTTGAAGGGTTGGATTTTTTCCCCCGGTTCATGTTTTCTTAAGAGAAACTTAAACATTTATTTTTGCCATTCGATCCAAACATTTCTTCACTTAGTTGAACAATAACACAGAAATAATTGTTTTATAATTTTTAATACCATGCTTTCATTCAGTCATTCATGGTTTTTAGTCAATTATCCATAAATATTTTGTTTCAATTATCCATAAATATTTTGTTGTACATAGGGTCACAATGAGTCGCAGGCGACTCGACGGCACATAACAACAACAGCAACATTTTGTTTCATAATATGGCATCAGGATTGGTGGAAGAATCGTCAACAACCTGCATTATGCAGATGACACAACCCTGCTCGCTGAAACTGATGAGGACCTAAAGCGCTTGCTGCAGAAGGTCAAGGACTGCAGCCTTCGATATGGATTGAAGTTCAACATCAAGAAAACAAAGATTCTCACCACTGGGCCAATTGGCAGCATCAGTATGGATAGGGAAGAGATTGAGATAGTTAATAGTTTTAGTTTGCTTGGTTCCACAGTCAACAATCTTGGTAACCAGCAGCCAGGAAATCAAGAGACAAATTGCATTGGGAAAGTCAGCTGTGAGGGACCTCTCAAGAGTACTGAAGAGCAACAACATCAGGCTGGAGACTAAGGTGCACCTGATCCAGGCTATAGTCTTTGCAGTTATGTGCAGTTGAGCAAGGCTATTCTGTGCAACATCTCATCAGTTCCTCACTATACCATGCCTTTTTTTTTTACCCTACCCCTCCATCAAGATAGAGCAGGATTCAGAGTTATTGTACATAGGGTCTTAAGGAGTCACAAGTGACTCAGCGGTACATAATAACAACAACCCCTCTATTCTCTAGTCTCTGCTACTCTCTTCATCATCCCTGTCAATCCTCCCTGATTGTTTCTATTTGTGTGGAAACATTTTTTAGCTTTTCTCCCCCCAGTCAGTCCCACATATCTTGTACCAGACAGTTAATTACGATGGTGAAGAGATTGAGATTGTTCACAGCTTCAGTTTGCTTGGCTCCACAGTCAACACTCTTGGCACTAGTAGCCAGGAAATTAGAAGACGTATTGCGATGGGAAAGTCTGCTGTTAGGGACCTCTCCAGAGTACGGAAGAGCAATGGTGTCTCTTTGGAGACTAAGGTGCATCTGATACAGGCCATGGTCTTTGCTATCACTTGTTATGCACCAGAGAGTTGGACAGTGACTAAGGAGGATAGAAGGAGAATTGATGCCTTTGAGCTGTGGTGCTGGAGAAGAGTGTTGAGAGTACCATGGACTGCTAGGAAAACAAACAGATTCATCCTGGAAATGGTCAAACTGGGCTGCTCCTTGGAGGCAAGGATTCTAAGGCTCTTTCTAGCATACTTTGGACATGTTGCAAGGAGGGGCAGGTCCTTGGAGAGGGACGTCATGCTTGGTAGGGTGGAGAGACAGCACAGGAGGGGAAGGCCCCCTATGAGGTGGATTGATTCAGTGATTGGGGTAATCGGGATGGGTGTATCGTAGATGGTGTGATTGTCGCAGGACAGAGAAGAGTTTTGGGCTGTTGTACATAGGGGCGCTATGAGTCGCAAGCGACTCAATGGCACATAACAACAACAACAACATAATACCTGAACCTCCATTCATTCCAAAGAGTTCTTTCTCTCATTTAGCCCAATAAAGTGTCATCTGTTTGTTTCCTGCTCCCACCCACAACCATATTTACTTAATTCTCCCCATATACAACCCTTTCTCCAGGTTTGGGGTTTTTTTAAAAGGTTTTTATATATAAAAATATTCTTATACAATATTTGTCAATTTTTGGCTGCCTTACGTAACATAATGTCCTCTAGATTTATTCATGTTTTGTAGTGTTTCATTATCGTTTCACTGTTTTTCAGTGTTGTACAATACTCTGATTTTTTTTTGCACTAAATATACTCTATTGAACTTTTTCTTTTTTTTTTAATATTAGTTACCCTTGCCACAGTCCCAGTTTTGATGAGACGCCATCTAGGATAAACTGGTTGGGTAACAAAAAGATTCACAAAGATCCCCAGCTCCATTTGTTTCTCCAAACATAACTCTCAAAATCCCTTTCAGAAATGTATCCAAGTAATTTCCTGTCTAGCTTCAATAGTGGGTATACCTTTTAGCCCTATGTGAATTTAAAATAGTTCTTTAATCTCTGAACAAGCAAGCCAAAGAGGATTGTACTTACATCATCTTATTCGGAAATATGTCTCCATTTATTTCATGCCTTGCCACAGAGAACTTGAGACGACTAACAGTTACATATATTTAGGTATGAAAGTTCTCCAAAAGGGAAATGAGACCTCATGTAGACGTTTGACATAGTCTGTACTGAGCTGAGCTGTGCTGCTAACTAAAGGAATATAGCTTTGAAGGCAGTTCAAATCCACGAGCCAGTCCTCAAAAGAAAGATAGGCAGTTTCTTCCCATTGGATTTATAGCCTTGCAAACCCAATGGAGCATCATCCCTGAATGGGGACTGACTCTACAGCATTGAATTGAAGGAGTAGGAAGAATGTATGCTGATCCCATTACGCTATTGCATTTGAAACCTAAAATTCCAATTTGACTTTAAGATCTTGATACATTGCACAAAATATTATTTTCCAACTGATTCTTAGATAAGGAAAAAGTAAAATTAGGGTTTTGTTTTTTTTTTTAAAGTGTACAGAAGAAACCTACTGGTAATTTCTAGTGGTGAATTTTACTTTTGTTTGAGTTGGGCTTCTGTATGTGTGTTCACATTTTAGTCTGTTGATGCACTACGTTCTTTCCAAATGAGAAAAAGGCAAGATGCAAATAGAAATAAACACACTGAGGAAATAAACTAGACTTTAAAACTCACCCCCTCTCCCATAAAAAAAAAAAGAAAGAAAAAAAAGGTAAGACCACAACACAAAAAATACCAGGTGACGTGGATTCTGAACAAAGAATAGGCCTAATAGTATGGGCAACCAGAACAGTCTAAAATTGAGAGCTTTCAATGCAGGAGACATACTCATGAAACTATCTCAAGTCTCCATTGCAGGGGGCTGCATTTTCATCACTTTGAGGTTAACCCTTTGTTTTGCAAGCAACGTGCTGTAAAGACAGGCATCTCATTTTAGAATGTGCTGTTCCCCAAACAGGACATTGGATAAAGGCTGTGAGGGACATTTTCTCTACCTTGCCTTACCCTTTGTTTACAGCATAACTCAGGGACTGACACTAGACACCTAGTAGTTGAATTTCCTGAAGTGACCTTAATGGATAAGATAAAAAGATAAGCTGTTCTGATAGACAGATTTCACACAAGCCACTTGTGCTATTCATTCCCTGTCAACCAAAGGGCACGTGCCCTGTCCCTCCTTTACAGACATTTGGTCAGTATGAATGATGTCAGACTGAGTTCATAAAACACATGGGCACTTGGAAACATGCAGCCTGACTGCCAAGGCTTTGCTCTGGACCCAGTGACTTAGCTCTGTCATTAATGGCCTCGAACATTGGCTTTAGGAGAGAATTACTCAAATAGCCAAATGTTAATTGAATAAGGAATGTTGCACAAATTTAAAATACAGTAAACCATATAACAAGGTTTTTATCTTCAAATAATGAACAGAATGTTGAAATCATGGAAATCAATCACATTGCAGTTGTGTCTGGATGCTTTAGAATTTCAGAATAGCCAGGGTCCTTCGCCATTCCCATTTTCTCAAAGAATCATCCTCTGCAGAACTGCTGGCCCATGGAAATCAGTCCTCTTTGGATTTTCTTAAGATTGAGGAAGAAATCTACTAGTGTTTGAGATTCACACATTTCACTTTTGAACACTTCTGAATTTTACAAAGTATCTTCAGCATGATGACCTGTACTTTTTAAAAAATTTTATTTTATTAATTTTAATGAACATTTACAGAGATTTTGGATTCCTATTCATTCCTTGTTGCACTATTTTCTCTACCCCCACAGTTCATTCTTCTCTTTTTTTTTCTTTGAAAGTCTGTTTTAATTGTCCCATTGCCACAGTGCTTGTCAAAACCAGTTCTGATTAATCTCCTTTGTCAATGTGTCCTTTGCCATGCCCTGTCACTCCTCACTGAGAGATTTCACCCTGATTCAAAAGGAAAAGGGGGCGGTGTATTCTCTTAGCTACTTCCTGCTGAATAGGGATGCTGT